CACTGCTTTCATTATAGTTCCAAATGTCGTAGGTCAAAGCTAGGAAATACCTGCTCACTTGCACAACTGTAGTACTACTGTTTACAAACTTAGTCCTTAGATCATAATTCATAGTGGACTTACTAACCCCTAACAACTTATGATTTATGATAATGACGATTAAAGTTCATTTATTGATAAAGCCTGGTCCGTGAGCACGTAGAATTTTGGCCAATGACCCCAAGCTACCCATCCTTATCGCTCGCGCGTAATTATATTGCTGTCGCGACTGTTCGACGGGCGCCCGCAGTGAGTGTGCGAGCGCGACAGCAACATAATTACGCGCGAGCGATAAGGATGGGTAGCTTGGGGTCATTGGCCAAAATTCTACGTGCTCACGGACCAGGCATTAGACGATAAGTGTCGGAGCCTCTACCGATAAATCTACAACACAGACAGTTATCCTGAACTATTCAAACTTAACTGATTGGGTTTAATTGATGGTCAAACTATGTAAGTATATGGTATATCCTGGCTATGCAGGTGTTGCGACCGTATCGCCTTTTTCGGGCTGTCATCGCCCTTCGCGCGCTGTCAATCGCGAGGCAAGGCGTTTACGTTACGGTGCGGATAAGGCTGGTTTTAGTGTCACGCGGACCGTCCGGTGCGGACCCGCTCCGCACGGCCGATCTGTATGAACTTCTAGGGAGCGTTTTAGAGTAATGCGGTCCGGAGGAACCGCTCCGCTCCCTGGCAGTTCATACAGATCGGCTGTGCGGAGCGATCCGCACTGACAGTCTGCGTGACACTAAAACCAGCCTCAGTGTGCGTTGCAGTATGGAGTTTCATACAAAGAATACTGACCACCTTCGAGTTGATACGGTTACAATCCCTATCCGGGTTGATAAATGTGCTACGGCCTTTATACTGTGTGCCAGCGACCTAAAACTATGTATACTTTTAGTAGTATTTTTTCAGTATCCTTCACGCTACACAAAGCAGGGTAATTGAGGCTTCCTTCATTAGACTTTAACTAGATGTTAATTTAACTTCTGATCGATGAAGTTAACTAATGGTTTTAGAACGTGTAATTTGAATATTTATGGTAACATTTAACAAGCTATATCTTTTACTAAAAATGAAAGCTTTTCTCAACATTTTATTGTAAGTACAACACCATATAAATAAAATACGTTTATTTATAATTATCGTTGGCCCTGAATTCGGCACGCGTTTGTCGAAGTAAAATTTTATAACATAACTGCCCAAATTCCAACTCGATTCCATATCTGGGTCAGATATTAGATTCGGCGTTGCAACAGACTGACAATGGACGAATCGTATTGTAGTGAATTGAAGACAATTGACCCATTACAAGTTGGCCGCACGCTAGGCCACTGGTGGCGGACTCGAGCGAGATAGCCACTAGTGGCTAATACAAGTTGCGGGCGCAATAAATAATAGATTTTGTATGGTAAACGCAAACTTCCTATGACACGAGTAGTTGCGTCGAGCCACACGTAATGATATGCATCAGTCAGTACTTTGCCCCACAATAAGCCACTGTACTGTCATGTGCCTAGCAAAGTCTAGAAGTCATTGCCTAAAAACAGTATCTAATTATTTATCATTAGTGGCTAAACGAGTACAAGGATCTATTAATTGATGATTGATTCGATAGAAGCTTAGTTTAGTGGCTACAAGGTGTAATAGGCGACTGAGGGTAAGAAGTTTTTATCTACAAGTGGGGTACTACCCCCCAACTTCTAAGTATTTAAGGGGGCAATTCCTACTTTTCAAAATGAATATTTATGTCAACTCTTTTGTTAACATACGATACGGTGATAGCCACTGCCATTTGGTATGATAGCCACTGGTGGCCCAGTGTGCGGCAGCGACGTTCGAGCACTCGTGTTGCTAATTGCGGTGACTTGTGAAATTGCCAATTTGGATATGGACTTTAGTTAATAAAGGATTGGAGCAGCCTTGACTTATTGTCATAGGAAAGGCAAGACTATTTTAACTGAACTAGAGGTTAACGGCTCTTTGGTTCAACTTTTACATATCTGTATCCCAAACAAATGAGATATTTTGGTCATTCATTAGTATAGCATCTCCTTAAGTTTGGCACGTTGTTTTTGGGACACCATGTATTTATATTGTTGTAAATCTAATGTTTATTTAGCTGCCTGAAAGTGGCTACATTTAGCTTGTGCTTCCAAGCTTGTAGATTTGCCTTCGGCCTACTTTGTGGCTCTCGTAGTACATATTTAAAAAAAATAAGATACAGGTGCAGGTGCGAAGTTATAGGTATGAAAGTTACTCTGTTATAGAACCTTACACGACTATAAAACCCTAAAAGCATATACCTTGTACATACTCGTTCGTATTGATTAGGTCGTTAATACATAAAGTTCCTAATCAATTTATTTAAACAGCCTTATAGTTGTCGCCAATCATTTACATCATTGGAACCTCAATACAACCTGTATCTAAAGCAAATACCAATAACTTTATTGAATTATCAAGGCTGGTGAAAGCCATATAAATATCAGTTGTAAATAACAAAGCAATAAAAGTGTCTCTAAGAACCTCCCACACAAAATATTGCCAGTTATCTATGGAAGGCTTAAGGCAATACTATCGGTATTGCCATCTACTGTATGTTAATACGAATGTGTTATTTAACTGATATTAGTGTGATAGTAAAGATTTAATTATGGGTATTAAGTATCCGGTGATTATGTTTACATAATTGTTAATAATGTAACATACGAGTAGGTTGAATATTTGCTTCCCTGCTGACCTCTATTTGAGAAGGGAGCGCTAGTTTATAATAAGTGCGGTAACTAGTAAAAAGAAAAATTTAAATCGCTAGGTCAAACATTAGAATCTACAGTTTGACTGCCAATAAAGCCCCCGATTAGTGAAGGTTGAGTTGTGGAATTGAGGATAGCCGACTGTCATAGATCAAACTTGCAATTAGTAATTTAGTCAGAATATTTATTTTAGGAGTATTCCTATCGCCATAAAGTAATATCAGGTGTCTGGGCTCATGAAGTCTGACTCAACAAATGGATATGTCAACGCGAAATTGTGAACTCCGTCAGTTTATAATATGAAATTGTAAACTAACAGTGGGTTAGGTTAGGTTAGATTGTAATTTAACTACGTCAGATTAAAATCTGACGGAATTCACAATATTACGGTGACAGATATAACGTCAGTTACAACGTGCTCAATGTTAGAAGAAGAAAAGAAATATCTGTCAGACTAAAGTGAAGACAGACTTTAGTTAGACCATTCTTCTCAAATTCACAAACTTGCCAAAATCTCACCCATGTTACGATAAATCCACCAATTAGCTTTCTGATAACATCGTTCACATTACAGGCGTGTTAGTCAACCCACCAGTTAATCCAGTTCAGTGTAGTTGCAATTTTTCATCGGACCCATTGAGTACCAAACACGGTTTGATCTATACAAAAGACTGTTAACACATTTCGCTCGCATTGCCGATGCAATAGTGTGTGGTACAAGTTATAAGACAGATAAATAAAATTGTGACCGAGGTCTTTCGGCAGAAGGTCTATTCTGTCACTTAATTTGATAAGTAGTTTAGTCATATTTGTTACTCTACGTAAATGGGTTCTAGAGTGGAGACTACTTAATGAGGACTTTTTTTGATGTACGATATCTTCAAAAAGACGGTCGAGTAAAAAAAGGGTGACCTTGCGCTTTGAATCTTCTTGGAGGTTGACGTCCAGTAGTGGATTGCAATTGGCTGAAATGTAGAGAAGTGCGTTTGAATAGTTTACCTTTAATTTCATTAAACGCATTAAGAACAATTTATTTGATGTTAGAATATAAATTTGTGTTCTGTTAATTTGTTTTAAAATTCAAGTTTGTTAAGGCTGAGTTGCACCACTTTAACCCATCAATAACCCAAGAGGTCGCATATGAATACGTAACAATTGATTATTTGTGTCTCGATTCGCAAAGCTTGAAGAGTTCTTAAATATCGACCAAGCGACACGATACTCTTATTATTTCTATTCGTTATCACCTTATCACTTGCACCACACCCAATCACACATTATGTCAATTGCCGTAATGAGAGTGTTCGAATAAAGACACGATTGTTACGTCACTCTGACGAAACCTGCGCCTGCGTCGACATAATAGTTATTAGCTAAAAGGAAACTGCAATTTGTGTGGATTATTGCTTTGTTGTCATGGACATTGTCGTTTAGCTTTCAAGTGTGCTATAAGTGTTGGTAATCTTCTGGTGTCAATGCTGAATTAAGTATTATGCGAATGATCATAGGCTTTAATAATATTTTTATACAAAAAGGACCTTGGCTTGGTTCTATTAAATTATCAGTTACAATAATTTCCTTCTTCTTATCGTTATGATGAGCAGCAACTGATCATTATTGCGCGACCAAAATATATTTTTCTGGTTCACAAGGATTCCGTTAAGACCCTAGTTTGTATGTGTTTGACCTCAACCAGTGAAGGTCAAGTTTTTCCCGGGGGAAAGTTAAACTATTATTGGACCCGCAACTAAATTAATCGACGTCCGACTCAGATTAGGAAAAGGTGGACGCTTCCTGATAAACACCAGCCTGTAGGGGTTGGTTAATAACTCGTAAATATGTACGAATACACGTTCACACTTCCCTAATGAGAACTTTCAATTTTTCTAACTTCCAGGACAGGGTCCAAGACTTTTGCTAGCTGCCTTCCTTACAGGATATCTTGGACTAAGATTAACAGTGTAATTAATTAATTAGCTCAAGGCAAGCGTCTGATCATCTTATGTAAACTGCCTTAAGCGTAGCCGGGCATACCGCACGACCTCAAGGGAAGCAGCATGTGCACTCGCGGGCACTCCACCGTGGGAGGTCGAGGCCAAGGTGCTGTCAGAGGTATATTACCGAACCGCTGCCGCTAGGCGCGATGGTAACCCTCCTGCCCCCCGCGAAATCGAGCACTGGCTAGACGAGGCCCGTGTTTTGATGTTAGATGAGTGGGCAGAATGGCTGGAGGAGCCCAGTGCTGGGCATCGAACAGTCGCCGCTCTACAACCTTGTTTACGACAGTGGGTAGAGAGGAGCAGTGGTTCTCTCACATATCGCATGGTGCAGGTGTTGACCGGGCATGGTTGCTTCGGGAAATACCTGCACCGTATTGGTCGGGAGAGGACACCTCAATGTCACCATTGTGGCGCCGATGTCGATACAGCGGAGCACACCTTGGAAGACTGCCCGGAATGGAAACAACAAAGAGCTGCGCTATGCGCAAATATCGGACTGGATTTAACACTGCCGGCGGTGGTTAGAGCCATGGTCGGCAGTGACAACGGATGGGACGCGGTGAAAGTCTTTTGCGAGACCGTTATGTCGGCAAAAGAGGAAGCCNTTGTGGCGCCGATGTCGATACAGCGGAGCACACCTTGGAAGACTGCCCGGAATGGACACAACAAAGAGCTGCGCTATGCGCAAATATCGGACTGGATTTAACACTGCCGGCGGTGGTTAGAGCCATGGTCGGCAGTGACAACGGATGGGACGCGGTGAAAGTCTTTTGCGAGACTGTTATGTCGGCAAAGGAGGAAGCCGAGCGAGCCAGGGAGGTAGATCCCCTCGCTGACCCTGCTCGGCGGAGAAGGTTGGGCCGGAGGCGACGTGCTTTTGCGCGTCGTCTCTGACACATAGTCAAATACTAGTCATAGCGTAAGGTCCATTATGAGTGCCAGCGGATAGACCTTTACACCTACCCGCTGGCCTCCATTGTATATTATGTAAATATAGATAAGCACTTTGTACATTTGTATCATTAATTTGTATATAGTTGTATATCTCCGAGTGGCCAGTGGCAGTGCAAAAAACTGTCACTGTAAAATAAAAGATAGCGTGGTCGAAGATGGAGTCTGCACGCATAGCAGACGGTCTGCGCATAGGTGGAACATGTCGGGAAAGGCCTCGCTACACCGGCTCCCATCTATGCTCAGCGAGACGGAGATGGTGGATTTTTAGTGGGTAGGCCCCTCCCTTCTGGAGGGGAGAGCCCCACATAACAAAAAAAAAGGGCCTACTCACTAAAACCCCTACTCACTAAAACCTGACGGTGTCCTCCTAAAGTCCTTGGGACAGAACTGCAAGTTATTACCCGAGCTAGACGGCCTAGACATTCTTTTGCGGCTACACCCCAGACTGTGGCTCGTTTGCGACGACTGGCTTCAGGGGAGTACCTATAAGTACCCCTGTTCTTCGCTAAGAGTTCGCGTGAATACATGCGCGCGCCGTCACCACAGGTCCTCCTTTAGCAGCCACCAAACGCTCCATGTCATGTGGCCGAGGACCCATAAGAGGGGGCATGGAGATGGTAGTGTCTCCTGCGATGTCCTGGACGTCGGCGACGGTTCAAGCCTCCCCAAGCTCAACCCGTCTGTCCAGGGCTGTAGCGCAGCGTGGGGAGTGTAAGCCAAATCCTGCATTTGCCAACTAAATTATTTTGATGAATAACTGCTTCTGCAGTGGAGAGTGAGACTGACGATTCTGGTGATGTTGTCTTAATTTAAAACTAGCCACACGTCCATCGTTGTATTTTATTTTATTATTATATTACTTAATACTTATTTTTTTATTTTTTTATTTATGCCTCTTCATCAACATTAGTAAGCTATTTTTTTTTCAACCGACTTCAAAAAAGGAGGAGGTTCTCAATTCGACCAGTATGTTTTTTTTTCTATGTTTGTTACGCGATAACTCCGCCGAACCGATTTGAACAAATCTTTTTTCGGCGTATAGGTGATACCTCAAGGGTGGTCCCATTTAAATTTAATAATAGAAAAAACAACCCCCAAGGGTGGAAAATTGGGGATGAACTTTTTTATACGCAATATCTCCGCCGATTATAAATCAATTTGAAAGATTATTTTTTTGTTGAATAGGTATTATCAAAAGGGTGGTTTCATGCGAATTTGAAGAAAATAATTCACCCCCAAGGGTGGAAAATTGGGGATGAACTTTTTTATACGCAATATCTCCGCCGATTATGAACCAATTTGAACGATTATTTTTTTGTTGAATAGGTATTATCAAAAGAGTGGTTTCATGCGAATTTGAAGAAAATATTTCACCCCAAGGGTATAACTTTTTTTTAATTTTTAGTTTTTTTTTGTGTTCACGCATTTGAAGTCGGTTTTATTTTTTTTAAAAGTTAATTATTTTTGTAGTTAATAATAATATAATAACAAAATATCAACAAATTAAGAATTTATTTCAAATGCTCTCGGCACGTGTATTGGTTGGATCGGCTTCGTTGCTACCTAGGTACCTACCTATTTACGTGCGTAAATGTGTCTTCATTGCGTTTTTTCAATGCGTTCTTTCGCATTTTACGTACTTACTCGACCTCGACTTAATTGCTTCTCTCATTTTTGCATTTAAAAAAGAAATCTTATCATCTAGACACGCGCGAGGCAGCCAAAACAACTGCATAATCATTGAACCACGAAAGCAAAGGAGGAGCAGCAGGTATACCTACAGTTATTTTAAATTTCAGTCTCTAGCAACGACATCAGCTCAGACATGACCCTGGTAGATTACCTTCGGAATCATTTAGAGCTGCGTGGAACAAAATACATGTGCCGCGAGGGTGGATGCGGCGCGTGCATCGTCTCTGCCATCAAAGCACCAGGAGAGCAGCCCGTTGCTGTTAATTCTGTAAGTATAATATGTTCAATTTATCAAATCCACGTAAGGTTTACTTTACCATAAGTAAAAATAACCTCTCCGATCCTCAAGAATTCTGATGATTTGGTAAAGGTGCAAGTTCGTACCCGACTGCATAGAGGAGCAGCAGCAGACGAACAGCGATACTACTGGTTTCTGTGTGCAGTTGGCTACGAACTTGCACCGACAGTAGCCAAAATTGTTGTTATAGACATAATACTTCCTAGCCAAGAGATTCCTACATTTTAAGCTTTCCAATTTTTAAGTGTCTGGTCTCGCTCCCTTCGTGCCAAAACTGGGATATCACCACCATAGAGAAAGTCGGTAACCGACTCAATGGCTACCACAAGATTCAGAAAGTGCTTGCTGAGAAGAACGGCACTCAGTGTGGCTACTGCACTCCTGGTTGGGTCATGGCTATGTATAAGTGAGTAGTTTTTAAATAAAAATACGTTCACTTGAATAAAGGCATGTCGGTGCTTCTATAGAATATTAGTTAGACTTCCGCAATCGGAAGTTTCTGGGTTTGATGCCCTGATGTAACATACACATTGAAAAATCTTTGCAATTGTTATCGGTTAGGGCTTGAATCATTCGAATTTTCCCAAATAAAAATACTTACGATGACCATACGTTTGCTTTGCAGTCTCATAAATACCAAAAAAGATATTTCAATGCTCGATATCGAAAAATCTTTTGCGAGTAACATCTGCCGGTGTACAGGCTACAGGCCAATCTTGGATGCGTTTAAATTGTTTGCCAAAGACTCTCCATCTTGCAGCAAAATTACCGACATCGAAAATCTTACTTTATGCAAAAACAATAACAAATCATGCACCAAGAAATGTAACGATAAAGTTTGGTGCCATATCACCAAAGACGATGCTTTACCAGTGGGTAAAGTTGAAAAAGCCCTTAAAGATGGAAAAATATGGTACACAGTAGAAAAAGTTGGAGATATTTTTGAAATCTTGGACGTAGAAGGAAATGAGTCTTATATGCTAGTTGCAGGAAATACTGCTAAAGGTAAAACTCGCAATTATACCATTAACAATGTACCTACGCTATTGTACGAAGATCTAATTCGTTCAGTTTTTCTACAGGAGTATACCCGATTGAGGACTATCCGCATATTTTAATAGATATCAATAAAGTGAAAGAGCTAAAAGGTTACATGATGGATCAGAACCTCATCATTGGTGCTGCTACAACTCTCAATGAAATGATAAACATCTTTCAGAATGTTTCTAAGGAAGAATATTTTGGTTATTTACAAAAATTTGCAGATCACATGAATTTGGTAGCCAATATTCCTGTAAAGAATGTAAGAGACTTATCGCAAAACAAGTCTGCTACTAACCATTGCAATATTTCTTTTTATAATGGCAATCTAATGATTTCAGTTAGGGACAATTGGAGGCAATCTCATGATAAAGCATCAACACAAGGAATTTCCTTCCGACATTTTCATTTTACTTGAAACGGTTGGAGCTATGCTGACCATTTGTAAGTAATTTAGACGCAAAGTAGTTATTACGAGAAAATAGGTAACAAACTCGTACACCTGCAATAAGACATGTCTTTACTTTGATTATTTTCAGTGAATTCTCGTGAGCGCAAAGAGACATTGACAATGCAACAATTTTTGGAAACAGACATGAAAAATAAGGTTTTGTACAATATAATGTTACCACCATTCAATGATTCATATAAAGTCGTCACTTACAAAGTAAGCCTATGTTAGAACTTGGAATATAAGGTGTTTCATACTGAACTGGAGGGTATTTTAAAAATTTGCTTGTTTTTTAGATAATGCCTCGTGCTCAAAACGCGCATGCTATTGTCAATGCAGGATTTCTTTACAAATTGGAAAACGAAGATGGTAAAGTAAAAGACGCTAGAATAGTTTACGGTGGTTTATCTTCGTCGTTCAACAGAGCAAAAGAAACTGAAACTATGCTGAAAGAGAAGATGTTATTTGAAAATGAAACTTTGCAATCAGCAATTAGTTCCTTAGTTAATGAGTTAGAGGTTGTTGAGAATCCACCTGAACCATCGGCTAGTTATAGAAAACAGTTGGCTGTAGCGTTGTTTTATAAAGTTAGTATTTATTAAAATTAGTTGAAACCATCAATCTAAGCGTTCTTTTTGTGTGTTCAAATTATTATAATTACTTTCAGAGCTTATTATCATTATGTCCAGTTGGTAAATTAGACCCTAGACATCAATCAGGGTCTGTAGACCTAAATAAATCTAGACCGGTGTCGAAAGCCAGTCAGGAATATTCTACAGACCGAAGATTGTATCCTTTAAACCAACCTGTGGAGAAAATGGAGGGTCTGGTATGACATACTTTTTTTTACACTTTACATGTTAATTTATATACCTAATCGAAGTTTTTCCGCGTAATGTTTAAAAATAACACAATCGTCCTACTTTGAATTTAGAACGGTAAGTAGGTAGGTATTTTATTTTTGTTGCCCTTACGGCAAGGAAAAAAGATAAGTAAACTTAAAATACCTACAATTTATTGACGTTACTTACTCAAAAGAGGTACCTACCTTTATTTTATCGACGATAAACTAAAATGTAGCTAAAGCTAAACCACAATCAACCTCAGAAACTAAATAGATAGTTGATGTAACACTTTGTTTGATTTTAAGATTCAATGTTCCGGTGAAGCGAAGTATACAGAAGATTTACCTTCAATTACACGTGAAGTGTTTGCAACATATGCCACAAGTGACGTGGCTATAGCTGACATAGAGTCGATAGATGCCCGCGATGCTTTGGTAAAACTATTTATAATCTACACTTTCATAAACGTATCTACCAAAATTCGTAATCATAATAAATATTTACAGAACTGTCCTGGGGTTATCGCGTTTTACACTGCCGATGATATTCCAGGACCTAATAACTTCATCCCAGTAGGTACATTGATTTTTGTTGCAAGTGAAGAAGTGTTGTGTAGTAAAAAAGTCAAATATTACAATCAGCCTTTAGGCATAATAGTGGCTGAAACACGCAGCATTGCTGAAAAGGCGGCCAAAATGGTAAAAGTGAAATACAGTAATGTTAAAGAGCCTGTACTGGATATCAAAGTGGCCAAAAACGATGCGTCAAGATCTAAATTGTTGCTACCGTTTCCTGCAATAGAAAAAGGCTTTGATGTTGCAAAGGTGATCAAAACTGAATACACAATATACGGCCAATACCATTTCTGTATGGAGACGATGACTTGCATAACACGACCGACAGAAGAAGGAATGGAAGTGTTTACAACGACTCAATGGACGGATGTTATTCAGAATATGATATCACAGGCATTGAAGATTCAACTCAATAAGTAACATTTATGTACCTTTCAGTGCATCGGTTTTATTGAAGTTGTTCACATTTTAAAGAAAATTTTACTTTTCAGAATTGACGTTCATGTTCGTCGACTCGGCGGCGCCTTTGGTTTGAAGATATCGAGACCTACACAGCTAGCCATTGCTTGTAGTCTTGTAACACAAAAGCTGAACAGACCATGTCGTTTTATACAGTCTTTAACGTCGTCCATGAGAACTGTGGGAAAGAGATTCCCTTGTTCAGCAAACTTTGAAGTATTTGATATTTTGAAATTGTTTCATTATTAAAATTAGGAGCTTGTGTAGAATATTTACCTACTTCGCAGGTCGGAGTAAATAAAAAAGGGAAAGTACAAAACATGAAGTGCGACATCTACGAAGACAATGGCTATATTAGTAGTGAAATAGTAGCTCTACTTGGTTTTGATTCATATAGTAACTGCTACGATAGGCTCAGATGGAGTTACAAATGCTATAACACCAATACAGACAATGCGAAAAATACTTATTGCAGAGCACCAGGTAATAAAAATTAAATGGAATCAACTAAAACGTTATAAAAACTTTTCACGAATTTTAATTTTAGGAACATTAGAGCATATTGCAATGGCAGAATGGATTATGGAACAGATCTCATACGAAATGCAATTAGACCCTTTAGATGTAAGATTTGCTAACGTAGAAGAAACAAAGTATGGGGAATATAAAACAATGGTTGATAGTGTTAAAAGTAAATCCGATTATGATAACAGAAGAGCAGCTGTCGACAAGTTTAATAAAGAAAACCGTTGGAAAAAACGTGGTTTGAGATGGTCGTTTATGAAATGGAATCCTTTGAGTCCTGCTTATTTCGACGTGAATCTCTCAGTATATCACGGAGATGGATCAGTCATTATCACTCATGGAGGCGTCGAGATGGGACAAGGCATCAACACGAAAGCTGTTCAGATTTGTGCTTATTTACTAAAGATACCAATGGATAAGATTCAAATAAAAGCAAGCAATACTACAACAGCTCCGAATGCTTTTTTGACAGGTAGTAGCATTACATCGCAGAATATCGGTAGAGGTGTAGAGAAGTGTTGTAAAGAGCTATTGAAAAGATTGGCGCCAATTAGAATTTTATTGTTGAATCCACCTTGGGAGAAATTAATCAAAAAAGCGTTTGCACTTAACATAGATTTGCAAGTTCATGAATTCATTGGAGAGTTTGTGTCTCCAATATTTACTGCGGTTGGTGTGACTTTGGCAGAGGTTGAAGTAGATGTCCTTACTGGAGAATTTCAGCTGCTGAGAGTTGATTTGTTGGAAGATGTAGGGAGGAGCATAAGCCCTGCTATAGATGTTGGTCAGGTAAAAGAAGCGACAGCTTATATCAATTTAAAGTGTTTATATCCATCATGATGTTAATAACTGAACAAAAAAAATTTTTTGTGAACAGGTGGAAGGTGCTTTCATAATGGGTATGGGATACTGGACCTGTGAGAATCTGGTATATGCTAAGACTGGCGAACTCCTCACAGATCGCTCCTGGAACTACCATGTGCCTCAGGCTAGAGATATCCCCCAGGACTTCAGAGTCTATTTCAAAGAAAATTCGTATAGCGGTGATATAGCTCTTGGAGCTAAAGGTAGTGTTTACTATAAAGGAAGAAGTGACGTATTTTGATGTATGCCTTAGATTGATGGAGACCTATTTATTTTTAGTGACTGGTGAACCTCCGATATGCATGGCAGTGGTGGTGCCCTTTGCAATCAGAGAGGCCCTATCTGCAGCTAGAACTGAATCCGGCATCCCTACTACTGAATGGTTTCATATTGGTAATACGAGTAGTTTAGTCGCTAATAGCAGAGTAAATACAAATGAGTAGGTCATCTTCATAGAAACGCACTGAGCGCGGTTTGTATGTGAGCGCGCCAATACGTTCGTATGCGGCGCGCACGCACACACTGACAAAATTCGGCGCAACATCCCGCTAATCCACGCTAAATTTTGTCAGTGTGTTCGTGCGCGCCGCATACTATCCGTTCGCGATAAGTTTGCCGCTGGCGATATGACGTCACTCGAAGGAAAGGGCCTATAACTTTAGCAAACTATATTGAAAATATTTTTTATTTATTAATATTGATAAAAATTGTGTATTTGCGTAACATAAAACACTCAATTGCGTATAATCACCAATTAATCGCGGTTGGAGGAGGGGACGCGCATTCCACGGACCGGCAAACTTAGCGCGAACGAGTCGTATTGGCGCGCTCACATACAAACCGCGCTCGGTGCGTTTCTATGAAGATGACCTACTCATTTGTATTTACTTTACTCTGATAGGTTGTTTCGTTTTCTTACACGTGAACTTATGTATTACTAATTAAAAAGACTCATATTTTTTTCGTCAAAGAGCTACAAACATAATAAACAGGGTGTCCCAAAAACAATGGATAACCTTGTAACTATCGATAAGCCTCACTATGGTTTCTCATATTACATATAATTTTGACCAGGTAAAAATATCACGGTACCTATTCGAAATTTTTAAGTTTTTTTGTATTTTTAGAAAATTATCACTTGCAATTGCGATGCGAGATCACGAATTAAATTTTCCTTTTCTTCTTTTTAATACTTTGGAATTCGTTTGCTGAATTTTATGAGAACAAGGTGGCAATTTCCTAAAAATAAAATGTTATACTAAGGTCAAATTTTGATATTATAGAGATCTTGAGGAGGCCTATCGATAGTTGTGAGGTAATCTATTGTTTAAAGATACCCTGCCCTGTATAACTGGTTTACCAATTACCAAACATTTCGTATTTGTGTTATTTCAGATGGCCCATATACCTTGGAAAACATTTGTATAGCAGCCGCAACAAAATACGAGCACTTGAAATTCAAATAATTAAACCTATTTGTTTCTCTATTTCTGTTTGTTCATGTCCTTGGTTACAACTTAACAAAACAGTAAGTTTATTGTACAGCAGACAAAACTAACATGACATAGCTAACTAACAAGACATATTTTATGTTGCTTACTGATGAAATAATAAATCTTTAGATTGGAAATAAACTTGGTTTTATTTTATCAAACAAATAAAACAATAGAAACGCGCACACCGTGACCATAGACCGGAGAGAGTAGAGATGTGCATAGACAACACAAAACGAGTTGCGTTCACACTTCATCATGCTCCCCTGGACGCGAACGTTTTGTAGTTAAGTCCATTGATGCAGTTAAGTCTTCATGCTTCGGTCTGTGAAGTCCTTTCGTCAGAGCATCTGCAACCATGTGTCTTGTGCATAGATATCGAACGGAAATTTGGTTCGCAGAAAATTTTTCTCGCACGAAGTGATAACGCACGTCAATTTGCTTGCTGCGCGCGTGATGCATCGAGTTTCCTGAAAGGTTAATAGCACTCTGGTTATCACAATAGAGAACAGTTGGAATACCTTTGTGACTCGGCCAGAACTTTTCTTCCAGTTGTTTTAGGCAAGGAGTTTCCTGTATTGCAGAAGATAATGACATGTATTTCGCCTCTTGATATGGTAAATTTTTCAAGATGTTCTGTTCATTTTCAGCCTTTGTTAGTTTTATATTCCATGTGTTTGTCTTAATTAAAGATTGATATTCTTTATTCATTGCCTCTTGCCATTTATCAGCCTTCTCACTACTAAGAGCTTCTTCTACGCTTTGTGGATCACTCATACATATCATAGATGTGGCAGATTGATCATTCTGGTATATTTCTAATCGCCGTGGTCTCAAGTTCATATTATGACGAGGTGGAGAATCCAGTGTTTCATCGGGTGAGTATGTTTCATCATTAACATCCACAAATTCAGCAGAATCATTTATGCAGGAATCATCAGAAGGATTATTATATGTATTTTCTGTCTCAAAATTATTACTTCCTCTTTCAGCTTCAACATGTTCTTCAAATATTGGTAAGTATTCTACCTTTTTTATTTTTTTGTTTTCTTCTTTATTCTCATTATTTATTGTATCAACTTCTTTTTCTTGTTTATTAATTTCTGTTTTCTTTTCAGGTACATCATCAACTTTATTTTTCTGTACTGTGGCTTCTAGAAATACAACATCTCGGCTTATGACTGCAAGTTTTCTTTCAGGGTCTATGAACCGATAGCCTTTAGTGCAATCGCTATAACCTACAAAGATTAGCTTACGTGACTTCGCATTCAGCTTTCTTCTGTTCTCTTTAGGTATGTGTACCATAGCATTGCATCCAANTCACTTACCTATTAAAGTTATGTAGATTTGCTAGGATATTGATATCATTTAATCTTCAAGCCAGTATGTACTAAAAGTTCTATCAGAATCAGCTTGATACTTACGTACTTCAAAGCCTGAAATTAGTATTCAAAGCGAGCCTAAATTTCAATAGTGTAATACTAAGTACTGACACAGAATAAGTAATAGTACAGGTACAGAAGGATTACTCCGCAAGACGATTTAAATAAATGCGAGTCTTGCTACGACGCGATACAGTAGAATTCAGCTCGCACAGCACTACGTACCTACAATTCTATTCACCTACAAGTTTTGTCTCTTTCTATCGCGTGCCTCTGAACTCTTCTTACGCTGTTAGGGTTGCTGTCTAGTAAAAAAATAATAAATCTACTTATTTGTAATGAGGTACGTATGTAGGTAAGTATGCATTCATTATGGAAAACCTTCATAGTAGGTTAGGTTCCTATACTATCCTAAGAATTATTGATTACCTACATGGCCAACATACCTTTCAGCATCTTTGGGAAGCGAAAAAAAAAGATAAATCCGGTAGATTACTTTTCGAATTTAAACACCCGAACGCCGCACAATATTTCTTTCTCTTTATGTCCATTTTTAAATAATACTTCGATCATAGAATTATAATCATACTACAACGCATGCCAGCGTCCTGACGAGCGCGCGCGTGACACTCGACTGATATAATACCCGCCGGCGGGGCGCTTCGCTGTAGGTAATTATCGGATGTACCGCGCGGAGTGAGCCAGGCCTGGTACTGATAGCAGTATGCCTAATTTATTACAAGAATACCTACCTAATTTAATAAAGCTAGACTTCCACTGTTAAATAATAATCCATACTATATGTATGTAGCTAAGTATAGGTGCAAGCGCAGCGTGGTGGAGCGACTACCTTATAAAGGTAGCAGGAAGGCGCTGGATGCAGCCGCTACAAACTGGTCATTATGGAAATCTTTGGGGGAGGCCAATGTTCAGCATTGGACGTCCTATGGCTGAAATGATGACGGTGATGATGACAGGTGCTCATCAATTACGTCTGATAATTTTCATGATTAAATAGTTTAATCATTCGACATCTCTAAGGGAACTCTAAGGCTGAGTTGCACCACCAAACTTTGACCGTAATTATAACGATAACCGGTGGATTTTATATGGAGTTTGGCACATTTTTGACGTTTGTTACAGTCAAAGTAAGATGGTGCAACCCAGCCTAAGTCTCTACCGACAGGCTCTGCAGCCCAATCGAGTTAACTGCGCACCTGGCAGCCGTAACGTCATATCGACGCTCTGTGTGCCTACCATGAGTTTACGTTAGGTGTGCTCGCTAGCGACTACGTAAAAAAATGACATTTAAATGTATGACATATTGTGCAGCGCCCCTAGCGGCTACTTTCAAAAAATAAAATCTTCATTGAATTTTTTGACGTATTCGCTAGCGAGCTCACCTAACGTAAACTCATGGTAGGCACACTGTTACGGACACGGGGCGAACGCGAGGAGGTGAGCGGTTGAGTGCGAGCCAGCGTTGCCAGACGTCCCGATTTTGGCGGGACGTCCCGATTTTTTAATCAAATTTAAATGTCCCGCGCGGGACAGGCTCGGTCCCGCTTTTCGGAGAGAGACACTCACTTCACCAGACTATTGTTTGAAACGCCATATCTATATATATAAAAGAAAGTCGTGTTAGTTACTTCGCTTATAACTCAAGAACGGCTGAACCGATTTAGCTGAAAATTCTCATGGAGGTAGTTTAGAGCCAGGAGAAGGACATAGGATACTTTTTATCGCGTTCGAAATTAAAAAAAAAGTCTGCTTATTTATTGCCATTAAGGTGGAACAAAGTTCGCCGGGTCAGCTAGTTATTCTAAAGAATAAAACTTTTTAATTTTTTTTCTTTTTTTTATTCTAAAGATGAATTTAACGATAGAGTAAATCTGATTTAAAATATATTTTTTTTGTTAAAATACATTTTTTATGGCTACTTTTGCTATCTATTGTCACGTAAACGTAATTTTAAGTCAAATAAAAAGATAAATATTTGAAAACCTTTGATTATATACGTTTTTTTTACTATGTCCCGCTTCTGACGGAAGAATCCCGCTATTTTTACTCAAAAAGTACCAAAGTCCCGACTCGGCGAAAAAAAAAACTGGCAACGCTGAGTGCGACGTAGAGGCGAGGTGCGCAGTTAGCTCGATCGGGTCATAACTTAAACTCTTTAAGCCAGTCCTTTCCGTACCTCTTCATCGGACTGGATTTTTTCAACTGCTGTGATGGTGTGAAATTCGCTCCTTGAAGATATCTGGCAAGACACAAGGCATAGGCAGTAATTAGTTCGCAATTATTACCAAAATCAGCTCCAAATTGTAGAGAAAAGATTGTTTTGTCAACCTGCATTATTAATTATGTTTAATGTTACTGATAGTGTACAACCATTATTATGGCAATAAATAACATTTATTTGTCTTTCTCTTACTTTACAAACACGGATTTTTGCATTATGTATAAATTAGGTAAGGCAGATAAAAGTGGTATAAGAAGGTGGCTAAGAAAAAACATGTTTTGAAAACATAGTTTTTACGGTACTTTGAATTAATGGAAAAAGCCAATGACATACCAAAAAGAATAACGCTTCTAGCCCTGGCCCATTTATTGTTCTGAAGCAGTGGTAGGGTTAATACTGGGACGTGTAAAAGTGCTTGTTAAAAGCCTACTTGCATAAATAAATGAGTTTTTTTATTAAATCCTTAAAAATAGAAATAAAAACCGCCGTGAAATAGCTAGAAAGAAAATGAGGACTATTTCATACTTTGATTATTAAATAATTAGTACTTTAATGATGCACTCAAGTTGTTTTTTGTTTTCTTTAACCATGTTCCGCGTACCAATCCCTCAGACTTTTCTAACAATTCATTAATCAGGGACATTAAGCAAAAACATAAATATCTGTGTAATAATATTATTATATCCTATTTAGTAATGCAGGTCAAACGTTTATGACAGTTTAAATTTCGACCTTGAATCTGACCCAGTTAAAAGTTAGCCCACGTGGTAGAAAACAGAAAGACAAACAAACAGTTTTACCTGCTGACAGTATTACAATAGATAACATATTATCATACTGTATATAAACTGAAACTGACTGTCAAGTGCAGCAGTGTCCTCTGGCAATCATGGATACAATACAACTAACAGTTAACGGGCAGCAGTACACTGGTATAGTAACGTTTAATTATTAATTACAATTAAAATATGAACGAGTATCATTAGAAGTGTTGCGGCTAGTGATTACAAGCACAGAATATTTTTTAACCTAATAAAAGTCCTCTTAAAGCACACCTTTATGGCAAATAAATTATAATGTGCACTAAAGACATTTAGCATGAGAAATGAAATATTCTCACATCTCTTTCCCAGTGCTCTTTATCCAGGACAGAACGATGCAATGTAGGTTGGTAAGTTAAATTACTTAATCAAATTCCCAGAGAAAGTCTTTTCGCCTTCAGCCGGTTCAGCCTGAGCCAAGAGCTTCTCCCTTATGAATGAAATATTTTTTCTTTATTATATTTATTTTTAATCATTTTTATATTCGTAGGTTGTTCAGGACAATAAAATCCCATCAAAAACAATACTTGTCAAAAAAACCAAGTCTCGCAACTCAGTTGTTCTACGGTAAAAAGTTGTGAGATCCATGTAATACCAAGTCCAGGCCAGGAAATCTTTAACGTTTTACATAAATTATTGACTTGGCCATCGCACTAAATAATTTAATTTACACGTGTTTTCATGCGATGGCCAAGTCAATATATTTATGTAAAACGTTAAAGATTTCCTGGCCTGGACTTGGTATTACATGGATCTCACAACTTTTTACCGTAGAACAACTGAGTTGCGAGACTTGGTTTTTTTGACAAGTATTGTTTTTGATGGGATCTCATTTCTTTTTGTATTTTGTAGACAGCAGTTATGTATCTAGAAAACTGGACCGAAATTGAAAAATTTTACTCGACTTGGCGGTTGCACTACCGTGCCCCCAAATATTTTAGTTTTTCCTTGATTCATACACCAAACACTACTTATATTCCAAATTTGAAGCTTCTAGGTCTGCTAGAAGTGCCTTAGAGTTTTGATGATCGGTGAGTCAGTGAGTCAGTGAGTCAGTCAGTGAGTGACAAAATTAAGTAACTTTGACCCGTTATAATTCTTAAACTACTGGTTCAAATTGAATGAAATTTTAAATATACCGTGTCTTTACAATGCCTGCATAGCTAATGAAAATTCAGCCTTCTAGTTTTATCCACAACGAAGTTACAGGCGGTCGAAAATGGCCTGAATTGCTTCGAGAAAAGGATGGTACGGCCGTGCCGCTTTTTTGCTCGACTTGGTGGGGGCACTGCCGTGCCCCCAGATAATACAGCATTCACTTTTTGTCATAAGTGGCACTTTGAAATTAGATGACAATAATTATGCCCGTTTTCACCATAAATCCCTAATTTTTAAGTGAACCCTTTGGTGTGGTAATACATAACAGGAATTTTGTTTTCATAAGGGTCATTTTGAAAATTAAGGATTGATAATGAAAACGGGCATAACTCTACCAAAGAATTGTGTGAAACACTGACCTACTTACTTGAAAACTGCTTCCTTGATCTGGCCCAGTCTTTTTTAAATAATTTTAGCAATTTGTAAATACAAATTACTAATAATCCCATTAACCCCACGTAGTAAGCTAAAATATGCTTGTATTACGAGTGGGTTCACCACCATAGCCGAGCGGGGGGATTCTAACCCGCGTTCCTCGGATCACGAGTCGGCCAGTCCGACCCCTTCACCGTTCGGCTATCGTGACTTTACTAATGTGACTAAGTTTCTTGCGCTGCTTCTTCTCAGCACTGGCCCATTTATTGTCCTGAAGCAGTGGTAGGGTTAATATTAGGGCGTGTAAAAGTGCTTTTTAAAAGCCTACGGGACTCTTTCCATTTTCCTCCTCTCGTTCCCACCACTGCAATTCCTGTGTAGCCAGGATCTACAGCTTGACCGCCACAAAAACCCAACCAATGAAGGTCAAGTTTGTCCAGGGGGAAAGTTAAACTGTCATTGGACCCGCAACGAAATTAATCAGACGATCATAGGAGGAGTTCGAAATTAAGGTTTAAAAACCTACTTGCATAAATAAATGAGTTTTTAACGTGGTTACTTCATAGCTTGCTTTTATGGTCTGATACAGTGGAAGGAGCAGAGGTGAGCTCCGACACGATGCTGGTGGACTACCTCAGGCAGCACCTCGAGCTCAGGGGCACAAAATTCATGTGCCGTGAGGGTGGCTGTGGAGCCTGCATCGTGACTGCCGTCAAATCGCCTGGAGACCAGCCGGTCGCTGTAAACTCTGTAAGTATACCATGCTACTAAGGAGAAGCTTTTTGAGATTGTCATGTTTATGGCGCAAGTACACTATGCGGGAAATTGGCCGAGACGTAATAGTGTGAACACCATTTCAGTTACTTTCTCATTCCCCTACCCGGGCGGTCGCCCATATTTTGGTGTACGGGCTCGCGCTTTGTTCAGGACAATTTCATAGTGAATGCCTTGATGCTGGTGAACCACAGACAGTTTATTGAGTTGAGATTTTATTATGTGTTTTGCTTTACTTTGCGAATTATTCAAACTGACAATCAGTTTACATATCATCATCATCCATTCCGCTGTAGGAGGAAGTTTGGCCAAAACTCACCATATAGCCTAACGGGTTGGGGAGTCATTAGGCTTGGATTTTGTGATTCCCACCCAAGGTCTTCCACCATTAGGTTAGGTCACGGTCTTAGTAGTTTTTATCTAAAATCTCGCCACATTAACCGTAACAGATCCTGTATATTTAACTATTGATAAGGATGTATGAACCATAATAACTACAAACATGACTTGTATAGGTAGCCTTATACCTGCAACTAGGTCAAGTTTGATTGTAAAAAAATAATTATTTAGTTTTGGTACAAAAGTTAGTTTGTAATGTTAGCACAACAGGTTTTAGAAAGAAAGAAAGAAAGAAAAATATTTTTATTTAGTCCAAACATCCTTAGACTACTTACAACAATATAATTACTAAGTAGGTAGGTACCTAGTTTTTGAACCAAAAATGGTAGCCACTGAGCATGTGCTATGCCCTAGGTCAACAAGACCTAGAGTATAACGCTGGTATTCTGTGGCAGCCATATCAAGTGGGTAGACATTAATATTTAAGTTTTACACAAAACAAAAAAATAAATAAATAACACAGTGCTCGTCAAGTGTGTGTTGCGTATGCATAGCTGGGCATTAACTCGTTAATCCGTTAATCGTTAATTAACGAAGTTAACATTTCTATTAACGGATTAACTTTTAAGTTAACTTTAAAAAATGTTAACGGACTCGTTAACTTCCGTTAAATTATCCTAAGTCCGTTAATCGTTAATGAAGTACCTACTATTTACCAAAAAGATACAGCAGGCACGCTGAAAAGCACTAGAAAAACGCGTTCTGACAAGTACTCGTACGTTCGGGCTTCCAGAACCCAAAACAACAGTTTTTGTAACCAGAACGAAACGATATAAAAAATGCAATTTTTAAATTTATTTACATTACAAGCTTGACTTCACTTGTTAGTATGTGTGGGACAAATCTTGCAACTTTTAAGACCAGTTCTCAACCGATTGACTTGTTTGGGATACTTATGTAAGTACGATCAAAATGCAATGTTATGGTACCATTAAGCTGGTCTGATGATGGAGTTAGGAGGTGGCCATAGGAACTCCTAAATAAAACGGCGGCATCGCATCGAATTTGGGTTTGTTGGATTTGTCTTTTTGAGCACTTTAGTACTACATGATGTCCAGGGTCCTGATCATGGAGTTAGAAGGTGGCCATAGAAATTCCTAAACGAAACGGTGGAAACTTATCGAGTTCGAGTGTGTTGGATTTGTCTTTTCGAGCATTTTGGTGCTAAATTGTATTGTAATTGAACCAAGGCTCTGAGATTGAGATACTATAGACTAAGGGCTGGTGAATGCCAGACCTACGTCATTTTATAAAAACTGAAAGTTTGTCAGCGTATGCTCCCAATATAGGTTAGAATGTTGGTGGATTATGAAAAAAACTGTCTGGCAAGGAATTGGAACTGTCAAAGCTGTGTGGCTGATGTCGAAACAACTTCTAATCATTGCCCAAATATTATTATGTATATAAAAATCAGATTTTATGGTATAACGTAAGTAGAATAATTAGTCTATTCAATATACAGATGATTTTTATATAAAATACTAGCGGCCGCCCGCGACTTCGTACGCGTGGATCCTGTTTTACCCCTTTTCCCGAATTTTCTTTGCTATAAACCTCACGGAGCCCGAGACTTTTCCAACGAATGCAAAACCGTGGAAATCGGTTCGTGCGTTCTGGAGTTATAGCGTCAGGGAGGAAAACCCGACTTATTTTTATATAGTAGATTAGGGCAATAATTAGAAGTAGTTTTCTCATCAGCCAGACAGCTTTGACAGTTCCAACTCCTTGCCAGACGGTTTTTTTAGGATAGCTGCTAAAGTCACGATGACCCAAACTTCATGATTCACCAACATTATATCCTATATTGGGAGCATACGCTGACAAACTTTTAGCTTTAATAAAATTACGTAGGTCTGGCGTTCACTAGCTCTAAGTCTACTACTAAAAAGTGTAAAATAAAATTATAATAATAAAATACTTTTTTAATAAAAACAAGCTTTTATTCTGAAATGCAGTTGTTACTAAAACGAAAAAAATAATTGTATGCAAGGTTCAAATAATTTCGAAAGCTTGTAGCGCAAACATAAAAGAGGAATAAATTCCGTGCGCAATACAAGCTTTCGAAATTATATGAACCTTGCATACAATTACTTTTTTTGTTTTATTATCATGTGTTAACGGATTAACGATTAACGTTAACTTCCGTTAAATCTTGCTAAATGTAACGTTTTAACGTTTAACGAAGTTAATTTTTTTATTAACGGTTTAACGATTAACGAAGTTAACTATTTGATTAACGGTGCCCAGCTATGNGTACTACATGATGTCCAGGGTCCTGATCATGGAGTTAGAAGGTGGCCATAGAAATTCCTAAACGAAACGGTGGAAACTTATCGAGTTCGAGTGTGTTGGATTTGTCTTTTCGAGCATTTTGGTGCTAAATTGTATTGTAATTGAACCAAGGCTCTGAGATTGAGATACTATAGACTAAGGGCTGGTGAATGCCAGACCTACGTCATTTTATAAAAACTGAAAGTTTGTCAGCGTATGCTCCCAATATAGGTTAGAATGTTGGTGGATTATGAAAAAAACTGTCTGGCAAGGAATTGGAACTGTCAAAGCTGTGTGGCTGATGTCGAAACAACTTCTAATCATTGCCCAAATATTATTATGTATATAAAAATCAGATTTTATGGTATAACGTAAGTAGAATAATTAGTCTATTCAATATACAGATGATTTTTATATAAAATACTAGCGGCCGCCCGCGACTTCGTACGCGTGGATCCTGTTTTACCCCTTTTCCCGAATTTTCTTTGCTATAAACCTCACGGAGCCCGAGACTTTTCCAACGAATGCAAAACCGTGGAAATCGGTTCGTGCGTTCTGGAGTTATAGCGTCAGGGAGGAAAACCCGACTTATTTTTATATAGTAGATTAGGGCAATAATTAGAAGTAGTTTTCTCATCAGCCAGACAGCTTTGACAGTTCCAACTCCTTGCCAGACGGTTTTTTTAGGATAGCTGCTAAAGTCACGATGACCCAAACTTCATGATTCACCAACATTATATCCTATATTGGGAGCATACGCTGACAAACTTTTAGCTTTAATAAAATTACGTAGGTCTGGCGTTCACTAGCTCTAAGTCTACTACTAAAAAGTGTAAAATAAAATTATAATAATAAAATACTTTTTTAATAAAAACAAGCTTTTATTCTGAAATGCAGTTGTTACTAAAACGAAAAAAATAATTGTATGCAAGGTTCAAATAATTTCGAAAGCTTGTAGCGCAAACATAAAAGAGGAATAAATTCCGTGCGCAATACAAGCTTTCGAAATTATATGAACCTTGCATACAATTACTTTTTTTGTTTTATTATCATGTGTTAACGGATTAACGATTAACGTTAACTTCCGTTAAATCTTGCTAAATGTAACGTTTTAACGTTTAACGAAGTTAATTTTTTTATTAACGGTTTAACGATTAACGAAGTTAACTATTTGATTAACGGTGCCCAGCTATGTGCGTATGTAATGTATAATAATATGTGCATGTGTGTGTTAGTATTATTAATCCTACCTAGGTCATGTAAAAAAAAAACATACGGGTCGAATTGAGAACCTCCTCCTTTTTTGAAGTCGGTTGAAAACAACCAGATTGACCACAGCCCTACGTATTACTAATACTTGGGATCGGTACTATACCACTGCAGTCGCTCAGAATCCTATATATTTTTAAGATATTTACTTATTTAGGGAAAAAAAATAATAAGCTTTAATTATTATTCACTTTCCAGTGCCTGGTGTCAGTAATTCAAAAGACATTGGCTGAGAATAATGGCACTCAGTGCGGACACTGCACTCCTGGTTGGATCATGGCTATGTATAGGTAATTTAAGAAGATTTTAATAATATTGTAGTCAAATTAAATTAAAATAAGTACTAATATGACCTTACGATTGCCATGGCTCCACAATGTACAGACACCATAACAATAAGTAGGTACATGATCTAATCCCACCAGCCCTCTTCCATCACTGGGAAACCAGACGCCGGTTAGCGTAATATCCCTACATTGTCATCATTCCACCAGCTCGCACTAAGCGTTTGATAACTCTTTGTAATGCGAACAGCTAGAGACTGGAATTCGCTGCCTGCTGCTGTCTTTTCCGAAGACTGTAATCCGGGCCTTTAAAGGCTAGAGTCATAGCTGGGCACCGTTAATCAAATAGTTAACTTCGTTAATCGTTAAACCGTTAATAAAAAAATTAACTTCGTTAAACGTTAAAACGTTACATTTCGCAAGATTTAACTCAAGTTAACGTTAATCGTTAACACATGATAATAAATCGAAAAAAATAATTGTATGCAAGGTTCAAATAATTTCGAAAGCTTGTATCGCGCATGGAATTTATTCTTCTTTTATGTTTGCGCTACCAGCTTTCGAAATTATTTGAACCTTGCATAAGTACCTACCTACAATTATTTTTTTCGTTTTAGTACAACTGCATTTCGGAATAAAAGCTTGTTTTTAAAAAGTTTTTTAATAGGCTAGATGACAAAATTTCAATTATTTGTCCGTCAGACAGATAATTAGAAAATATTAGACTCATATTTTTTATTTTCTTTCATAATTAAATAATAACAGTGCTACATCGAGTTGAAATGGCGCGATACGTCACGCTTGAGTAGAATTTTTACTCAAAAGTGACGTCACGCGACATTTCAACTCAATATAATACTGTAATTATTGGATTTGGAAAAAAAAATAAAAATATAAGTCTAATATTTTCCAATTATCTGTCTGACGGACTAAGTAGAATTTCGATTTAATTACCCAGTCATCATCCCTATTATTATAATTTTATTTTACACTTTTTAGTAGTATCTCAATCTCAGAGCATTGGTTCAATTACAATACAATTTAGCACCAAAGTGCTCGAAAAGACAAATCCAGCAAACCCAAACTCGATAAGTTTCCACCGTTTCGTTTAGGAATTCCTATGGCCACCTCCTCACTCCATCATCAGGACCCTGGACATCATCTAGTACTAAAGTGCTCGAAAAGACAAATCCAACGAACCCAAATTCGATGCGATGCCGCCGTTTCATTTAGGAGTTCCTATGGCCACCTCATGACTCCATCATCAGACCAGCTCAATGGTACCATAACATTGCATTGTCATCGTACTTACATACAAGTATACAAAATTTCAGCTCAATCGGTTGAGGAAAACTGGTCTTAAATTCAGTTGCAAGAGTTGTCCCACACATACTAACAAGTGTCGTTAGTGATCTGGTCACAAAAACTGTTGTTTTGGGTTCTGGAAGTTCTGGAAGCCCGAACGTACTTGTTAGAACGCGTTTTTCTAGCGTTTTTCAGCGTGCCTGCTGTATCTTTTTGGTAAATAGTAGGTACTGGATTAACGATTAACGGACTTAGGATAATTTAACGGAAGTTAACGAGTCCGTTAACATTTTTTAAAGTTAACTTAAAAGTTAATCCGTTAATAGAAATGTTAACTTCGTTAATTAACGATTAACGGATTAACGAGTTAATGCCCAGCTATGCCTATAGTCAATAGGCACTTACAGGGTGGATATACCATCCTAGACTGTATGTCACTTAACATCAGATGCGATTGCGATCAAATATGTACCTGCCTTGTTCTGCATTAAAAATACCTTTAATCACCCACAAGTAATCTTGTATACGTATATTTTTCAGTCTTGCACGAAGCAAAAAGAATTTAACCGAGTTGGAGATCGAGAAATCGTTTGCAAGCAACGTGTGCAGATGCACAGGATACAGACCAATTTTAGCATCATTTAAAAAGTTTGCTGCTGATGCTAAAAACAATCAAATAGCTGATATTGAAGATTTGTATGTCTGCAAAAAGAGCAACGAAGTTTGTAACAAATCATGTGACGAGTATGAATGGTGCTTTGTAAACGATAATTTGAATCAAGATGAAGTTATTAAGATAAATCTTAAAGATGGCAAAAAGTGGTATAGAGTTACACAAGTATCTCAAATATTTGATATTCTACGCGCTGAAGGTGATGAATCATACATGTTGGTTGTTGGAAATACGGCAAAAGGTATATTGCAGTTCGAATGGAGATCCAAATTTTTGGAATTCAAAATCGGGTTTTAATGAGATTTTCTTGGTCTTATTTGTTTCAGGAGCGTACCCAATTGATGAATATCCAGAAATATTAATAGACATAAGTGGAGTATCTGAATTAAAAGGTCACATTTTTGACCAAAACTTGGTCATTGGTGCGATCACCACCCTCACCGAACTTTTGGATATATTAGAAAGTGCTGCTGAAGAGAGAAGCGATGAATTTGGTTATCTAAAGAAGTTGCATGATCACATTCAGTTAGTTGCTACTATACCAGTAAGAAATGTAAGTGCGAATGAGTATAAGGCTAAGGGCCCTCGCTTATGGCGTCAGCATCGCTACTAGCGCGGGTTAGTCGCATTTGCAATGCACTACAGAAGTGATGACAACGCGTTACTACCGCGCTACACCAGCGCGGCTGCAAAAAGTCGCCGTGGGCGAGGGCCCTAAGGTAAATGTGAATGGAGTACCTAAATGAAAAACTCACTAATTAATAAAACTGTTTTATTTAGGTAGGGTCCATTGCAGGGAATCTAATGACTAAGCACGAACATCCAATGTTTCCTTCAGATATATTTTTACTCCTCGAAACGGTTGGCGCTTATGTGACTATAGGTTGGTACATACCTACTTTTTTAATGTGGTATCGAAAACATTACTTTTTTTATTAACTTGATTTTTTTTTTCAGTTGATGCAAACGGATCTAAAGAAGTACCTATGATGGAATTCCTAAAGGCAGATATGAAAGGAAAGATTTTGTATAACGTCATGATACCGCCTTTGAATAATCAATATAAAATAGAAACATTTAAGGTAGATTCTTAGAAATAAAGCACGTGATAACAAACTTTATATAAAACCAATATAAATATAAGTTACTTTACAGATTATGCCGCGGTCACAAAATGCACATGCTATAGTCAATGGAGGATTTAGATACAAATTAAGTAATGATAATAAAGTCCAAGAGGCAAGAATAGTGTATGGAAATCTATCTCCAGAATTTATTAGAGCAACGAAAACAGAAGAATACTTGAAAGGAAAAGCGTTGTTTTCAGATGATGTTTTACAATCAGCCCTTAAAGTATTGAATGAGGAAATAGTCGTCATAGAGCATCCGCCAGATGACTCTGCTGCTTATAGAAAACAATTGGCTCTAGCTCTATTTTATAAAGTAAGTGAATTTTTACAGATTTTTGACCATAAGAAAATTAGATTAGAGACTACTGAAAGACTTACCACAAAGGTCCAGGAATTATGGGAAGTTTAGTGATATTTTTGTTTAATATTTTCAGGGTCTTTTGACGCTTTGTCCGAGTGACAAAGTAGATGCTCGCTACCGTTCAGGTGTAAAGCGCCTCCATGACTCCCGACCGGTGTCGAGCGCTCAGCAGAGCATCCCTACGGATCCCGACTTGTATCCTCTCAATGAGCCTATACCAAAAGTAGAAGCTTTGGTAAGTAGTATATTTAAAATTATACTATAGTCAATCGGTCACGCAAGGCAAGTAATAAGATGTCCAAGGGCGGTGGTGATCGCTTAGAATTATGTGACATGCTTGCATACGATATACGGGCATGAAACAATTTATGCGATCTTTTAGCGGTCATTTTCTACAGTTGTATGGGAATTTATTGTAATTATTCAAATGAGAATCAGTGTCTAGCCACGCACTTTGCTGGCGGAATATACTGGTGTCCATTTGGCACCAGGAAAAATGTATTTATTGTTTTGTGTCAAATAAAGTGTTATTCTTTGTATAATGGGTAAAATACATTAAAATAATGCTAAAGTTCTTTTAGCTATAATAACACTGTTATTCTTAAGAGTCTTTTGCATCTAAGTCTAGAAAATTCTCAATTTTGGATCTAATGTAAATTGTATTGCGTATTTCAGATTCAATGTGCAGGCGAAGCGAAGTATACTGACGATCTACCAGCTTTCCCAAATGAGGTATTCAGTGCACTCGTATTAAGTACGATCCCCAAAGGAGAAATCGAGTCCATTGATGCTTCTGAAGCTTTGGTATGTTTTTAAATATAATTTTGTACATTGAGGTCACTTAATTAAGCGATATTTTTTATTTTCAAATTATTGTTCCAGAAACTACCCGGTGTGATAGCATTTTATTCAGCCAAAGATATACCAGGGAAAAACTCTTTCATACTAATAGCGACAATAGCATTTATTAAAGACGAAGTAATTTTTTGCGATGATAAAGTAAGTTACTACAACCAACCATTGGGTATAATTGTAGCAGAATCTACAGCGCTAGCAGAAAGAGCTGCCAAAAAGGTCAAAGTTACTTATAGAAATGTTGAAACGCCAGTGATTGATGTGATGGTAGCAAGAAAAGATGAATCGAGAACCAAATTATTTTTGCCGATTCCTAATATCGGTCGTGGGCTATTTGTGAAAAAAGAGTTCAAATCGAACTACACAATACGTGCACAGATTCATTTTCCTATGGAGTCCATAGTATGCGTGACCCGGCCATCAGAGATGGGTCTCGAAGTCCACTGTACCACCCAATGGATGGATGCTGTGCAGTATACGATTGCGAAGGCTTTAAATTTAGATATTAACAGGTAAGAATGTTACATTTACTCATGTCTCATAAAATAATTCAATTCTCGTATTGCGTATTGCGGAAGTCAATTACCTACCATAATAATAATAATAAAAATATAATTGCATATGATTGTCGTTAAAACTTAACGCCACAATTTAAGCCCAAGGTAGTTATAAATTATTTGCACAGGGGATAAGGGGAATCAAAAAATTCAATGAAAAATTGATCAAGACGCTACTTCTTATTGTCTGTATGACAAAATGGAAATTTTATCGAAAATTTACGCATTGTATGATTCTAATGATGATGATTTATTATTTTAATAGTCTTGTCACAATAATTATAATCAAGAATATCAGAAGAAAAAAAATATTAGGGTAATAATTTTCACAGTTAATTTAATAAGAATTTCGTATTTTATTTCCAGAGTGGATGTTTTTACGAACAGAGTCGGTGGTGGCTTTGGACTAAAAATATCAAGGAGCTCCTTGGCCGGTGTTGCCTGCAGTCTAGTGGCCTATAAACTGAACAGACCCTGTCGTTTGTTTCTGTCATTGCCAACGGTCGCAAAAGGTATTGGTAAAAGGCTACCATGCTCTTGTGACGTAGAGGTAATTTTGAAATGTTAATCGATAAAAATATGGTCGTTGTTAATAACACATTTAAAAAAATGCTTTGACATTTTCAGGTTAAAGTGAATAGCCAAGGCCGTGTACAATACATGGATTACGATGTATACGAAGATAACGGTTATATCAACAGTTTACTATTATCCGTAATAGGAGTAGATGCCCATCATAACTGCTATAAAAGATTGTGGTGGAATTTCAAAATTTATGATTCTTTCACTGATACTGCGAGAAACGAATATTGTAGAGCACCCGGTAAGATTTAAATGATAATAACACAAATATAATTATTTGCGTTCAAACAGAACAGCCTTAATTTCCATGCTGACTTTATTCCCATAGACGATTTGCATAAATACCTCAACTTGTGCTTTATCAATGAGTTCAGCCTTGTAAATGCAAAATAGTAATGGAAAAATTTACTCAATTTGCTTTCCACCATGTTTATAACTTAGGTCCCATAAGCAATTTTCGTTGTATGTAAATAAATCTAACCAAATATTCCGATTTAGCTGAGTTTGTTAATGTTCAATGTTAAAACACAATATGTACAATTTTGTTAGAGTTTTAACTCACAATTTGTTGTTTAAACAGGAACATTGGAAAACATAGCTATGGCAGAAACAATCATGGAACAGATTTCATATGAACTCTCATTAGATCCCTATGAGGTGCGAATGACTAATTTAGATTCACTTTTGTATGGAGATATTAAAGAAATGGGAGATGATTTGAAAACCAAAGCTGACTATACAAAACGAAGAGATGCGGTGACGAAATTCAATGCTGAAAATAGGTGGAAGAAACGCGGCCTAAGATGGGCATTGATGAAGTACACTCCTCTTAGTCCGGCAGGTTACGAAGTTAATATGTCTATTAATCACGGTGATGGATCGGTTACTATAAACCATGGAGGTATTGAGGTAGGTCAAGGAATCAATACAAAAGCTATCCAGATTGCCGCATACTTTTTGAAAATTCCAATCGACAAGATAAAAGTGAAAGGACAAAATACCGTAACAACCCCAAATGGCATTTTCACTGGTGGAAGTTTGACATCACAAAGCATTGGGCAGGGTGTAGAAGATTGCTGCAAGCAGCTGCTTCTGCGGCTAGAACCTATTAGACTTCTGCTACTAAATCCATCGTGGGAAAAGCTTATAGACAAAGCATATACACTCAATATAGACTTGATGGCCCGTAGTTTTATAGCTCATGTGATCGCCCCTATATCTTTAGTATATGGCGTAACTTTGGCTGAAGTTGAAGTAGATATATTGACAGGGGAATCGGAAGTTTTGAGAGTGGATTTGTATGAAGATGTTGGACAAAGTGTCAGTCCTAATATTGATGTTGGTCAGGTGAGTGAACTATTTGTTAATCATGAAAGTTTAAAAGAAATCTGCATTACAAAAATACACACAAATTATTTTTGGATTTTTTCTAAAGACTTGTTTTAATAAAATAAGGATTGCAATTTTGTCATTCAGGTGGAAGGTGCATTCATAATGGGTATGGGATATTGGACATCAGAGAAAGTTGTGTATGACGACAAGACGGGAGAAGTGCTTTCAAATCGCGCATGGAACTACCACGTACCATTAGCCAGGGATATCCCACAAGACTTCAGGGTTTACTTTAGGGAAAAATCTTACAGCTCTGCAAAAATTCTAGGAGCGAAAGGTTTGTTAAGCGCTTTTTCAATATTAGCAACAATTTGTAGAATCTGATACAATGGGTTTCAAGAAGTCACTCTGTCAATGTGCTTCTCTAACTATTAAATTAGTCTACAGACAAAACTGGTCATCGATGTGAAATAATTTGATAACTTTGATACTGTGATGATACTTAAACATAACAATTGTTTATAGTTACTGGAGAACCGGCTACGTGTATGGCTATTTGTATACCTTTTGCAATGCGGGAAGCCATCAGCGAGGCCAGAAAAGATGCAGGGATTTCTACTACGGAATGGTTTACGATTGGTAAGTTTTAGAAATAACCCAGTTTTGATAGAATACACACTATCGTCCGGAAAGCGCAGCGTTGTACGTCCACCTACAATGAGGTCCGACGACCTCATAAA